GAAAGCTGTCACTTAAGCCTCTTGAAATAAGTGGAAGGATTATGAAATGTGGAATGATGCAATTTTTACCATTATTATATCCCTAGAAGAAGGAAGGATATTGGCTTATGTCTGATGTTATCTTCTAGATGAATGCTAGGAAGTCATTCTCGTCCAAGTGAGGATGAAGCAGTGGCAGCTAGTTTGGTCAGGTTGCATTCAGTCGTTCTGGTGATATCTGTTGTATGCATCATAGGTTGATCAGAGCTATGCATCTTGTGTGCATTTTTTGTCAAATGTGCTGTAATTTTTAGCATTTATTCCTTTGCATATTTGATGCTACCTTTGTTCTTGGAAGCTCCTGTGCATTTCCTGAGCTTTCATATCTGGCACATCCTAAAGTCCTTATTTACTGAAATACTAAAGAACTGCTTTTTACAAGCCTGAGACTGCTATCATGCTCACATTCACCTCAGTTTCTCCTTTTCTCATTGTTTTGTATACTACTTCCACTCCATGAAAATTTCTGAAAAAAACTTGCTTTCCCCCAAAACTGCAAGGTCTTACTTTTCCAGATGATGTGCTATTTTAATGTTTTTCTGTGGGTACCAAAACCTTTAAAACTCATTTTCTGAGCACTGTTGCAGCTTTATCCCAAAGTGACGTAGCATCCAGAGCATCCCCAGAATAATCAAATATTAATTTTCAGTTTCATAGTTTAAAGACCCTAGGACTAAAGCCAGGTTTACAGTAATCTTTGGGGCGTTTGACTGGTTTTGGAAGTTTTGAGCAATCCAATTTTGTGTTTTAAAATGCAGTCATAACAAACCCGTAGCTGCCTTTTGGCAGTATATCACTTATTTTGTCTGGAGACTGATTTTAGCTTTACCTTCAGAACAGTTTTGCCAGTATAATATGCTGGGAGGAATCTGCTTGTGTAGCTGTACCACTATTCATGGTCTGGCAAGTTTCCTCTACTGTAATCTAGACCTCAATTTATCATGTACCTGTTCTATATCAGGGAAGTGGTCAGGGTTTTGAAGTGCTGGTAGAAGCAAGGGGAGTGTTATTTCTGACCTTCCTGAGAAAAATTTCAGTAATTGATAGAAAGTGGGTCAGGGAATTTGGTGAAAGGATGATCAGAATTGGTTGGGATGAGCAAGTGATGGATTACTTCATAGTAGATAGTAGAATTATGGTAGCTAACACAGGAGAATATAATTAGAGAGGCAGGGAGATTCAGATAAGAACATGGGATAGATTTTCATAACTTAGATTTTAAGCAGACGTAAGAATAATTAAAAAGTGAAAGAAGTTAGATTACTATTTCATGTATGTATTGTCACAAAGTTAACTATATTTTATTAAATATAGCTGAAATCATTAAGGCCTTGGTAAGAAGTTGACCACTGTGAAATTCCGATTGCTTCCATTGCCTCAAATCCTGAGACCACTGGGTTATCTTGCAGAATGCTGTGTTTGGACAGTATTGAGAAACAACAGAAGTTGACATATGAAAGGTGCAGAGTGGCAGACTGTTTAGGGATGGCTGCCTTACATAGTGGTTTTACTCATGCCAGACATTACAGTTGGTGTATTCTAAAATAGAATCATAGAATGGTTTGGGTTGGAAGGGACCTTTAAAGATTATATAGTTCAGCCCCCTACAATGAACAGAGACACCTTCAACTAGATCAGGTTTCTCAGAGCCCCGTCCAACCTGACCTTGAATCTTTGCAGGAATGGGGCCTCCACCACCTCCTGGGGCGTCGTGGTTTAACCCCAGCTGGCAACTAAGCACCACACAGCCGCTCGCTCACTCCCCCCACCGTGGAACGGGGGAGAGTATCAGAAGAGTAAAAGTGAGAAAACTCGTGGGGTTAAGACAAAGACAGCTTACTAGGGAAAGCAAAAGCAGCACACACAAGCAAAGCAAGGAATTCAGTCACCACTTCCCATGGGCAGGCAGGTGCTCAGCCATCCCCAGGGAAGCAGGGCTCCATCACGTGTAACAGTTACTTGAGAAGACAAATGCCATCACTCCGAATGTCCCCCTGTTCCTTCTTCTTCCTCCAGCTTATATACTGAGCATGACATCCTATGGTATGGAATACCCCTTTGGTCAGTTGGGTCAGCTGTCCCAGCTGTGTCCCCTCCCAGCTTCTTGTGCACCCTCCCAGCTTCTTGAGAGCTTGGAAGTCCTTGGTCAGTCTAAGCACTACCCAGAAACAACTAAAACATCATTGTGTTATCAACATTCTTCTAGTACTAAATCCAAAACACAGCACTATACCAGCTACTAGGAAGAAAATTAACTCTGTTCCAGCCAAAACCAGGACATGGGGCAACCTGGGGCAGTGTTTCACCACCCTCATCGTAAAAAAATTCCTTTCTTGTATCTAGTCTGAATCTACCCTCTTCTAGTTTAAAACCATTACCCCTGCCTTATTGCAACAATCACTGCTAAAAAATTTCTCCCCTTCTTTCTTATAAGCCCCCCTCCTCCCCCCCCCCTTAAAGTACTGAAAGGCTGCAATGAGGTCTCCCCAGCGCCTTCTCTTCTCCAGGCTGAACAACCCCAACTCTCTCAGCATTTCTTCACAGGAGGGGTGCTCCAGCCCTTGGATCATTTTTGTGTCCCTCCTCTGGCCCCACTCCAACAGGTCCATTGCTCTTTTTGTGCTGAGAGCCCCAGAGCTGGGTGTAGGACTGCAGGTGGGGTCTCACCAAAGCAGAGCAGAGGGGCAGAATCCCCTCCCTCGACCTGCTGGCCACTCTGCTTTTGAGGCAGCCCAGGAGATGGTTGACTTTCCGAGCTGTCAGCACACGTTGTAGGCTCATGTCCAGCTTTTCATCCATCAGTACCCCCAAGTCCTTCTTGCCAGAGCTGTTGTCGATCCCTTCATCCCACAGCCTGTATTGATACTGGGGGTTGCCCGAGCCCAGGTGCGGGACCTTGCACTTGACCTTGTTGAACCTTTGAGATTCACATGGGCCCACTTCTCAAGCTTGTCCAGGTCCCTCTGGTTGGCACGCTGTCCCTCAGGCATCTCAGCCACACCACTCAGCTTGGTGTCATCCGCAAACTTGCTGAGGGTGCTTGATCCCACTCTCTGTGTCACTGATGAAGATATTGAACAGTACTGGTCCCAGTATGGACCCCTGAGGGACACCACTCATCACGAAACTCCACCTGGACATCGGGGCATTGACCACTACCCTCTGGGTATGACCACCCAGCCAATTCCTCATCCACCAAACAGTCCACCCATCAAATCCAAACCTCACCAATTTGGAGAGAAACATGTTGTGGGGGACCAGATAGATGACATCCATAGCTTTTCCCTTGTCCACTGGTGTAGTCACTCCATGAGAGAAGGCCACTGGGTTGGTCAGGCAGGACTTACCCTTGGTGGAGCCATGCTGGCTGTCTCGAGTCACCTCCCTGTCCTCCATGTGCTTTAGCATTGCTTCTAGGAGGATCTGTTCCATGATCTTCCTAGGAATGGAGGTGAGGCTGACAGGTTGGTAGTTCCCAGGGCCCTCCTTTCTACCCTTTTTAAAAATGGGTGCAATGTTTCCCTTTTTTCAGTCACTGGATGACTGCCATGACTTTTCAAATATCGTGGAGAGTGGCTTTGTTACTATATTCCATAATTATCCCCCAGTGAATTCCCTCAGGACTCTGGGATGCATCTCATCAGGTCCCATAGACTTGTGTATGTTTAAGTTCCTCAGGTGGTCTTGAACCTGATCTTCTCTTACAGTGGAAGGGACTTTGCTCCTCCAGTGCCTCCCTTGAGGTCCATCCACTTGAGAGATGTGGGAAGAGGGGTTGCCAGTGAAGACTGAGGCAAAAAAGGTGTTGAGTACCTCAGCCTTCTCATCCGTTGTTACCAGTTTGCCAGTTGTGTTCATTGTGGGGGTATGCTTTCTTTGACCTTCCCTTTCTGGCTGACACACCTGTAGAAGCCCTTCTTATTATTCTTGCCAAGCTCAGGTCCAGCTGCACCTTGGCGTTCCTCACCCCTTAAAAGATCTGCCAGCTCTGTTCCACTCTCTTGTTCATGAGGGCAGTCTCCCAGGGGGTTCTATTGACTAACTCCTTGAAGAGCTGGAAAATGAAAAAATTCTTGTGTATGCATTAAATCATGATGTTAAAATAGTAAGAAAAAAGCAGCATATAATACTTCAAAATAGTCTCATAGTGGCATCTTACATAAGTATCTTCCTATTGCATTTTGAGATCTTTTTCTGTTTGTGTTCTCTTCTCTCTCTCCATCTTCACCCCCACCTAACATCTTTGGAGGAGTGACTTAGGAAAACTTGGGTACCATAGCTGTGAACTCCATGTCTACACATGTTTGGGTTTCTTTTCAGTTGCAATTTAAAACTTAATTCCCTGCTCTTTTAATCAGTCTTTTGGATTTAATTACAGTGTTTTTCTGTGGTTTTTTTTTCTTCCATTTTTGCTTTTTTTACTTCCTGATAGCTGTGTTCAATGTTAATGAAATTTAATTTTTTTTCTTTTTAATCTAGGAATATGGTGGGAAAATGACATAACTTGTCACAGAACTGTTTTTGTTAAATATGTTGCAAACTTTCGTTGACATACTTTAGCTTTTCAAAGAAAATTCAGTCAGCATTATTTAGTGTTTTTAAAGTAAAACAGTATAAGCATTGAGGAGTGTGAGCCTAAGTACTCAGGATTGTTTCCAGCTTTCCCATTAGTTTGAGACCTCCTGAAGCCTAAGCTTCTCATGTGATAAGGAAAGGAGATATGTTTGTTTTTGTGAAGTCTTCTGAGACCTTTATTTGAAGGATTCTATCAAGATGAGTCCAAAATAATACTTTCTTTTTTTTTTCTGAAAGCTTTCTGCATGAGCTCTTCAGTTTTCAAATGTTTAGAATACATTTGCATCTTTGAGTGAAAAATTATGAATAAGTGTGGAAAAAGTATTGTGTTTCTAAAGTAGTTTTAGCACTCTTAAGAGCATCAGAAACCCTGAAATGTCACCATTTGTTATTTGAAAATGGAGTGGTATTTTTAGAATTTTAGTGCAGAAGCTGTCAGAGAAAATTCCAGACATTCCTAAATTACTGCTTAAGAGAGATGAAGATCTTTGAACAATTAAAGCAACTTTGAATTTCCTACAATAGATATGAAAAACATTATAGAATCCTCAACAGGCTTTAATATTTGATACAGTTTTTTAGAATGGATTATACTGGTTGCAGAATGAGGACAATTTTGTAACTGATATTTTTTTAACTACCAGGTTTGTTCTCATTTTTTGACTTTTCTAAAATATGCACTTCTTAAAGCCAACATTGTGGCCTCAAAAATTATGGAACACTGCAACAGTGGGAATGCTGAAGCTTTGTATTCCTGTTTTTTACCCGAACATACGTTCTTTATGGTGTAGTTATTGCTCTTTGAAAATAACATGCTTAGCTGAATTGCTTTTTCACAGAAGGCACTGGTCCTATCTCAACTCATCTTTAGCTGAACCCATTTTAGTAGAGGTAAGGATGCATCTCAGAAATCGCACACTTGAGCAGTCCTGTTCAGACAATTAAAAATGTATCTTAACTGCTAATGTTCTTATGTTCATCCATAACTAGCAAGAATACTTTAGATATTTTTAAATCCTACTTGGGTAAAGCCAGACTAACAATATACTTTGCTAAACTTAAGGTAGAGATCTGTGTGGGCTTTTGTGGAAAAGGGATATTTAATACACGCAAGAATGCCACTTTTGCAGGGAAGGGTGGGTTCAATTTTGTCCTGAGGACAGAAATTAAAATTCAAAGTAAGTTTATAATGTTTATTTTGCTGATGGTTACAGCTGTTTTCTTTTTAATAATCTTTTATATGCAAGAAATAGTTTTTCTACACATCTAACTGAAACAAGTAGAAGAATCAACATACTAGAATTAAAATTAGTCTTAAAAATAATTAGAGCAATTATCCCATGTCACGCCATTTTAAGCTTCCCATTATAGTTAATTCACGAGGTAGATAAAACATAATCTGGTAGCTTTCTGAAGAGAAAATTAATTTATTTGGCCCCAAAACTGTTAGGTGTGTAAGCATAATTGCCTGATAATTACTGACTTTCACAGGAGGGAAAAAGCTTTTTTGGTGCCTTATCAGTGTGTTTAATTCCTTAGTATATTTTGATAACTTTTACCTCAATTTTGAATTTTTGGTTTCCACTATGTTTTTTCCAAATGCTATAGCTGTCTTTTTCTTATCCTTCACATTCAGAAGTGTGCTTGTGGTTAATTACAACTGATCTTTGGTATTAACATAGATGTGCAGAGTCAGATCCATTAAGAGAAGATTGATGATTTATTATCCTAAATCAAGTTAGGGAAATTTGAGAATATTAGAACTCAAAGTTGGTTTTCCATTATATAAGGTATTTTAAAATAAAAAAATTTTTCTTTGCCTCAAGAAAGACATCTTTTTAGAAGCTTGAAGGTAGTATTCTCAACATAAAACAGCTGCATGTGAATGAGTTTTAGTAGTGACCCCTCTGAAGTGTTTAATTATTTTGGTTCCTAGAAGACCTCGCAAGAAGTGGTAAACCTTGGTGGATGAGTGATGCATCTGCTTTTCCAACTTCACTTCCAGTCAATGACACATTAAGCAGTCATAGTCGACAGAAGAGATCAGTAAGCCTTGAACGGTTTGTGGAAACGCTGGTAGTAGCAGACAAAATGATGGTGGGATACCATGGTCGCAAAGACATTGAGCACTACATTTTGAGTGTAATGAATATTGTAAGTTTCATCCCTCTCTGTGTTCATATCAATATGCATCTGCTGATAGGATAAAGCAACTGTATTTTATTGGCATGAATAATGCTTTAACATTTATCAATTTGCAGGAATTAATAATTGAAATATGGCAAGTGTTAGCATTGTGAGAAAAATACAGTACTGTTTCTGTCAAGAAGTACGCTGTGATCACTTATATTTTTTGTCTTTAATTTTAAATTCACATGAATACATTCAGGTTCTGCATTTCTGTTCTGTTCAAGTCAACAGTCTAAATGCTCCTTGTGGTGGATGAATTATGAAACAAGATATAAAGACTTTTGATTGAAAAGTGTGACCCAGGAAATTTGTTTTGCTGAAGGGTCATTTTTTTGTCAAAAAACAACTTTTATTCAGGTGATAAGGATAATTAACGTTATGAAATTACATTGAGTGAGAAAATACATTCATTTTTAACCATTTAGGAAACAAGTAGTGCTTCTTGTCTGACTTTGTGCCTTTTCTTATTTTCTGGAGGTCAGGTTGCCAAACTTTATCGTGATTCCAGTCTAGGAAACGTTGTGAATATTATAGTGACACGTTTAATTGTCCTCACTGAAGATCAGGTAAGAGCTGTTGCACTAAGCTTTATATCCCTGAAATACAAGTTACGTTATTGTTTAATATAGGTTTAATTTAATTTTCCAACCTAAAACATCCTGTGATTCTATGAATTATTGCTTGAAATGGCTGCATCTGAGTACAAAACCTATCTCGTAATCTTTGACTACTTTAATCAAGATGAAACAGTTCAAAGGAATATTCCTCATGTATCATCTCAAAGTTATCTGTTCTTACTTCAGGTGAATATTACTACACCTTTGGAGATGTCAGTTTTATTTTTAGAGCTATATTTTGATATTCTGATTTTTTTGTATTGACATAATCATTATTCAAGTTGGAGTAGAAAGAATGCCTGTTCAGTAATACACAGCTGAACTTGGGGTCAGATTTTACAGAGATAAAATTTGGCAAGAAGAGTTTATTCCTAGAAACCACTGCTTCTAATTATAGTCCCATTTTAGTTTTCAAAAGGATTAACAACTGACCTTAGTAATTTGTTTGGAACATTTCTGGTATGCATGTTGTATTGCAGCCAAACTTGGAGATAAACCACCATGCAGACAAGTCCCTCGATAGCTTCTGTAAGTGGCAGAAATCCATTCTCTCCCACCAAAGTGATGGAAACACCATTCCAGAAAATGGGATTGCCCACCATGATAATGCGGTTCTTATTACTAGGTATGGTCATTATTAGTATCGTGTTTGTTTTATTTTATTTCTGTAGCTTTCTTGTTCTTACCTTTTTTTTTACGTATATAGGCTAGTTGTAAAGTAATATAATTGGTAGGTAATCTTAAGAGGAGGAAAATTAATAGATGGCTTGTCTTAAATATATCAGACTATTTGGAAAAGTAAGATCTTTACGTGCTTCTGCTGTTATTTTCATGTCACAATTGCCAATGCAAAGTATTCCGGTAGAACAGAAGGGTCCTATTGAAGATTTTCTACTTTTATAATTGAAAAGAATTCATAAGATTATGGAGAACAAAACAGTATGGAAAAAGTTTTGTTAACCATATATAATGTTTTTTATAAGAATTTCAAGCCAGAAGCTCAACTCCTGTAATAGTATTTCTGCTGAAAAACAGGTTCTTGCAGATTCAGGCAATGTGAGAATCTGCTTTGTAGCTACTTTGATTTATTATGCTTAATTAAGATGAGAAGTGACAGTTTTAATAGGTAGTTTCAAAGCCTGCATGTGTGCCCATTTGTTTGCTTCTATTCCACTGTTACTGTGATGAATTCAACAAAGCTCGCACTGTAATCTTGCAATCCTGATAAACCTATTCCTGTTTGTCCTATGCAATTTTGGGTAGGCAACTGTACTTTATTAGGAGATCAGTTTCCCCATTGTTTAAGGACACTATTTATTCTTTTCTATTTTGTTTAAATAGCAGCAGGTACAGCAGCACTAATCTGGATTAGGATCTTTTTATTATAGTTTCTGCTTTCCAGGACAACTTCTGTACTGCTTTATATGTGACCTATTTGTGGAATCATTGTGTTCACTGCAGAAAATTTTTCAATAGTGATTAAAATAATGGATCTTTTCTGGAATTTTGCATAACAGGTGTAAAAGTGGTGGGGTTTTTTTGGAATGGGTGTTTTTTATTGGCTTTGTTTTGCATAAGGAATATTTTTTTTAAAGATAGAAAGGCAAATGGATCACTTGTGTGTATTTTTGCATTCATATTTCAAATATAATTGTTACATGTGGTCATTAATACTACATGGTAACAATTGGAATGATTAAATGCCAGAGTGATTTAGAGAGCTGTTATAGTCCAAGAAGTTTTAAAAAATAATATTGAAGTCTCTAATGAAAATAAATTGAACAAAATTCAAAGTACAATACAGTTACACTCCAAGATCTTGATTTTTCACAAAGGCCTTTGTTAATGCTTAATTTCTTGCATACAAGTAATTCCTTTACTAGGGCTGCTCACATGTAAAATTAAATGTGTCTTTACAGCTGTGCTGTGCATAGCTTTTACTGGTATAATTTAGGCAGTGGGTGATAAAGTGTAATCCGTAGGTGGTATGGTTGTGTCAGTTGAAGCCCCCTCATATGTGTGTATAAGCTGCATTGGCAACACTATATTATTACTGTTATGGCTGAATAACTTGACATGTTGTTAGTGTTATTCTGGCACTGTAGAGCACAGTTGTTTATTTTCTTTCACTGTTGTGCTTTAATAAGTTTTATTACTGTATATTCTGTACTGCCATAGCTGTGAACAGTTCCAGACGAAGGCTTAAGTCATGCTAACTTGCAGGCCTTTAACTGCAAAAGGAGCAAGTTTGCAGAGAACATGAATAATACCCATTGAAAATTAAGTTTTTTCAGCAAGTACATATTAAGGACTTATTTTATTCTCCATAATGGGGGCTTAGTAGTTATATAAGTATGCTGCAGAGTTTCTTTAGGACTTGCGTATGCTATCTTTTAAAAATTACTTGTGATAAAAATAACTTCTGAGTTTACTTATAAGAAAAGTATACTCACTTCTAAGTATATACCTGTATTTTAAATCAACAAAGTGCCTCAGTGTAGTATCTGCAGGCTAGTAATAATCTACCTTTATAAAGCATTGCTAAATGTTTGTTTAGTTATTATGCTTTCACAGTAGCATGCTTGTTTTCATTCATTTACTATAATAATTGTAATTTCTAAAATGAATCCAAAGGCTACACTAATCAATTTGAATGGATCAATCAGGCTTTTACTTAAACTGCTAGCTATCCTGGCTCTTACTAATAAAATGTATCAGCTATATGTGAACAATGGATTTTTCTTTTTTTAGCTTGGAATGAGTAAAGGTAAATTTATATTACTATAAAATGTATAAAAATGTAAATCCATTAACTTTAAATAATTCTAAATGAACTACTGAAATGGTAACATCCTTGTTTTAATTCAATTTTGGATCTCTTGCCTCATGAACCAGATTTAATGCATTATATGTGAAAGACAAGGGTATAGCTACAGTGCTTTAAACTCCTAACGTGTTGGAGAAGACTTTAAAAACCTCTACTACCTGAAGGAATTGAACCTATGCTACCGAATATTAAGTTACATTTTAGCCACTGTAATAGTGTTTTGAAAGCAGTTTCCTGATTCTGTCCCACTGATGCTGCTCTGCTTTGTATGGAATAACTACGCTTTCATTGAATTTGACACTGGAACCATTTTCGGTCATTGTGTGTATTGACTATTTTATGGAAAGTAGGAAAGTTTCAGTTCAACATTATAAATAGTTTTATGTTGATCAAAACCAGATTTTTCAGTAATTGATGTATTTGAAAATGTTACCTAGTCCTAGCTGAGTATTTAATTTGCAACTACAACAACCTTTATCTGAAAAGTGGGACAAAGTTGTTAAGGAGTCATTATCTTCATCCTTACAAATGATGTATCTCAGGCTTTAATATTTTTTCTGTAGTTGTCCAAATTGGGTTCTTGGGGGCAGGTGAAAGTAAAATACTAAGCAGACAGGTTTTAATTATGAAGGTGATTAACAGTGAAATATTGTTAAGACAATGTCTTCTTTTTTCCATGAAGTGACTTTGGCTTTAGATAAACCTAGTGAATCCTTAAAATTCTTTCATATTACAAATTAATAAAAGTAGAAGAAAAATTTCTATGATTCCCTATCTCAAGTCTTCTGGGAGACAAAGAGTAGTCTTTGCATTCAGTTCCTGAATTCCTGCGTCACAGATGTCATAATCTCACTTTTTAGCACAATGTTGGGTTCTCAGATTTGTCATTTTAAGACTCAGTGTAAGTTTGAGAGTCCCTATATATTCTCCCTTGTGCATCCCATCCCCAGTGTAGAAGTATCGATTTGCCTTCTTGAAGGTAGTTCTTGTTTTTTTGCTGTTCTTTTTTTTTTTTTTTTTTTTTTAACCTTCTTTTATGGTAGCCTGCTTTCTCTTTTTGTTTATTCAGAAACTCCCTAAGAAACAGAATCTCCATAGTTTACCTTAAAAACACAAAACTTCAGAGGTCACAATGTACGCTACGATATTGTTACTTACTTTTGGAGAACATTAACCCAGCTTCCCTTCCATTTCAATCAGTTGCTTCCTTCTCTTGATCTTACAGATCATAAAGCAGGAATTATGGAATTCCTCAGCAATACCTTGGTTAACTTCAAGCATATACATTATGAACAAAACTTTTCCGTGTTGCATGCACCTGCATAGAATGGTAGGGCCAGAGGGTTGCATTCTAGGTTACACTTCGTAGCAGGGGTGGAGGAGATGACAGAATTTAAAAAAAATGTATTTTTTTTTTTTCTTTTACACTCGAAGAGTTCTCTAGTACTACATTTCTGTGTAGCTCAAGATGGTTAGTCTGATTTGTCTGTGTACTAAGTAGTTGTTTTTCCAAATGACATGTGTGACTGACTCTAATGGAGTCTTTTCCTTCTGTGAGGGAAGATCCAGACCTATTAATTTGACTTCTGGTGTTTCAGTAGGTCAAGTAAAAGGCGTATCAAACAGCGCATAGAGAGGAAAGTTTCTGCGGGGAATCCAGAGCCTCTGTGTGTGTATCTCTAAAGGGGCAGAACTTGGTCTTTGAGATGCAAATGTTTTAAACAGAGGAACATTTTAAACCATACTCACTTAAAGAGGTAGTATTTCTCAAAAGTTCTTGCACAAAATGCCATCTCCTGTTGGTAGCATCATACCAAGAGTTTGGTTTATGTTTTTCAAACAGAAAACCAAATCCGCTGTGCTTGACAAAAGCATTAAGATCTCTTTGATGCAGCTACAGGGCTTGTATAGGAACATAAGTGAATCCATGCAAAAAACTTTGAAAGTTTTAGGTTTGGGACTGTAAAACTGCATTCTATTTCTTTCTCCCCTCCTCCTCTTGTACACTGCTAGAGATGCACTTATGTAGATACAGCTTCTGAAATTAATGACTTACAATGTCTTGAAATGCAAAAATCTTTTCATTGGGTTAGAGTCCACTTTTATGAGTGGTTTACTGCTTTAGCAACAATGTATTCCACAGCCCCACTGAGCTGATGTGCTCTGTTGGAGGAATCTTCATTTGCTTGAATGACGAAACAGGGCCCTAAGATGTTTTTATTGATTAAGCCAAATACACCTTTATTTGTAGGTTAGACTGGTGTCATTAAAAATGTTCAGTACCACACATGGTATAAGTTTTCTGTTTGTCTGGGTTTTGAATGGGCTTGTACATGTTAATTTTTGTGAGACAGTGAATGAGCTCTCTCAATACAGACTCTTGTCTTTTTGCCAGGTACCACTGTACTTGTAATTCAGTAAGTATTGCTAAGCAGTGTGGTATGGCTGCTGTTAGCATTAACCCTGGTATTAGTATGCAACATGTTTCTAGCAGCAGTGCTGAAGCCCATATGGGAGGCATTAGCAGTATTACACAACTGGTGGATTTTTCAAGTCTTTCAAGGAGAGAAATTTTACAGAACTGGTTTATGTTTATTATATATGTACAAGATTAACTTAACAATGCTTCAGTTAGTTGTGCCATCATGGGCAATGTATACTCTTTCATTTGTCTGTGAGGTACGCATCCCCTGTGCATGCCAGTGCTGCTAGTTTTTCTAAGGGGGCAGAAGGTATGTGTACATAGCAGCAGTCCTAAACTCCTGTGAATCTTGTGGTTCATAATCTAAAGAACTGCA